TTGGCACACTATTCCAGGTGTGGTCTAACCAAGACAGAATAGAGGGGTAGCATGACTTCCCTAGATCTAGACACTATGCTCCTATTGATGCAGGCCAAAATCCCATTGGCTTTTTTGCTGCCACATGACCTTGCTGTCCATGAGGACTGCAAGATCTTTTTCACATGTACTGCTCTCGAGCCAGGCGTCACCCATTCTGTATCTTTGCATTTTGTTTTTCCTGCCTAAGCGCAGTACCTTGCATTTGTCACTTGCATTTTAGACTGCCCTGAAGCTCCAGGATGCTTCAGAGTTTCCAGCAAATTCCCTGAGCTTGCCATAAATGGGTCAAAGCTGGTCAAAGCTTTCAAAACCACAATACTCAGCAGAAGCCACTGTGCATTATGGAGACAACCAGCAGTCCATTCACAGTGAACACAGTGTTTTGCGCCAATGCACACAAGCCTAAAGATATTGTCCCTTACTATCTATTTACCTATCTATCTGCATTCTGTCTGATATTACAGGATCTTAAGGTGGCATGCAAAAAATAATTTCAAAGAAATTAGAGCTTAAAGAAGTTAAATAGTAAGTATCTTACTCTTTTATTCTTAGAAAAACAAAAGCATAAATGAAATGAAAGAATAGGAAAGAGCAAAGCAAACTCAAAGAAAAATATATTTTGAAGATCACCAGACAGCTCCATCAATGCCATAGACACTCTTTCTGTGACATAATCATGCATTGCTGTGGTACTCACCCTCCACAATGTCACCTACATAGTGATTGAGAGTCTGGGTCAGCTCGTCAGCACCACGGTCCATTTTGGTGTCCGTGCTAAATTTTTCAGTCAATGCCGTAAAACCTTAACATGGACAAACACCTCATGTCAATCAAAGAAAACCTGGAATTGTGAATTAGACTCAGAGAATATGAAAGAGAAGATGAATGCTTCTGAGACACTTTTGAACAGGATGTCTGATGAACCTCATCTATGCTAGGTTTGCTTTTGCATAAGGATAGGACAGCATTACACCTGATTGCTGCTGCACGTTACCAGATTGCCTGCTTCTTGACAGTAGGTTAGCACACATGAGAATTGTGAGCACTTTGAAAATTACTAGATTCAGGCAGAAATTAATTAAGGGCACAAAAAAATATGTCCAGCTAAGAGCCAGTTTTCCAAATCTTTGGCTTTTTGTGTTCTGTCGCGCGCTGGGCTTGAAATGAAGTGCCTTTAAAACAGGACGTGCAGCTTGAGCCCAGCGGGAAGCCAGGGGGCCCGAAGAGAAGCTCTTAGGGATTTTCCACCACAAACAGTCTTTAGAGGGCTTGTGAAATATAACAAAGTCTTTTATTGAGGAACAATCAAACAGAAACTTCTCTTGTCTTCAAAAGGTTAAACAAATGCTTCCAGGCTTTTGTGCAACTGGTGGCTACTAACTGTTACTTTACTTTAAAGGAAAATCCCTTTCTAACTTCTCCCAGGCTGACTGTGAACCTAAACCTAACTGATGTGGGCTCCACTACTGGTTTGAACTGCGTCTCACAGCACTGAGTGGTCCTACCAGCAAGGCCTGTAGTCTCTTCAGCTGGAGTTCTTTGATATTCAAAGCTGTTTTTCCTCCGAAATTCCTCAGAGCTTTAGGGCTGTTTCCCTGGGAATCTTTGGGAATCTTTAGATGCTCTTAAGACTGTTTCCCCCCAGAAAGTCTAAAGCGTTGAAGCTTTTGCACAGGAGAAGCCTGTACATGTCCTGTACATTAGCTATCCTTGCTGAGACTGACCAAAATGGTTCCTATCCCTCTCAGAGCCTGAACAGGGGGCAGAACTAAAGCTTAATGATGATGGACAGGTGGCCTGCCCTATAACTGCAAGCTTTAACAAGAAACCACCCTTCTGCAGAATCCCAAGCCTTGGACTGCAAGCAAACATTTAATACAAAGCAAATAAAGCTGGAGCTTCTAGTATGGCCATACCAGCACATTTTGCCTACCTGAAATGTCTACAAATAGCAGAACACCATCAAAACTCTCAATGAAAGGGACTTCCTGAGAGAAATCATCATACACTATCAAGTCAGGGACATGAGCGGCTGCTTTGCCAAGGGCTGAGATCTCATTCTGCCTTAGTCCTGCCATTGTGACTTCTTGATGTGGCAGATTAATGAAGGTAGTGGCTCAGAGGTGGAAAAGAGAGGAACTTGATCTTCTGCTGTGCCCAGGAACTGTGAGGATTCCTTCCACGTGCTTACATAGTACCTCTGTTGTCAGGCTCATGTCACAATGAACAGGCAAGGCACCTCTCCTCCAATAATATCTACTGGGACTTATAGCTGTGGTGATAACAGTTGCTAGGTTACTGAGAAGGCCCTATTTAGCATGCCCAAAGAATGAGATTATTAATTTGGAGGTACTAAAGGGGATTTCTTGAGGATTTCAGAGCTCATGCAAGTGCCTAGGGGAAATACTGTCTATTACATATTTTGGACCATATATGGCCTTATATACTCTTCCCCCAACCTATTCAACTTGTATGCAGAAAACATCATGCGATGTGCGGGGCTTGATGAATGCAAGGCTAGGGTTAAAATTGCTGGAAGAAACATTAATAATCTTAGATATGCAGATGATACCACTTTGATGGCCAAAAGCGAGGAGGAGCTGATGAGCCTTCTAATCAAGATGAAAGAAAAAAGTGCTAAACATAAAAAAACCAAGATTATAGCAACAAGAATGATTGATAACTGGCAAATAGAGGGAGAAAACATGGAGGCAGTGAAAGACTATGTATTTCTGGGTGCAAAGATTACTGCAGATGCAGACTGCATTCAGGAAATCAGGAGATGCTTACTTCTTGGGAGGAGAGCAATGGCCAATCTTGATAAAATGGTGAAGAGTAGAGACATCACACTGGCAACAAAGATCCGCATAGTTAAATCAATGGTATTCCCCGTAGTAACCTACAGATGTGAGAGCTGGACCATAGGGAAGGCTGAGCGAAGGAAGATAGATGCTTTTGAACTGTGATGTTGGAGGAAAGTTCTGAGAGTGCCTTGGACCACGAGAAAATCCAACCAGTCCATACTTCAGGAAATACCTCATTGGAGCAGTCCATTTGAGACACTGATAGAGTACTTCCTCATTCTTGCATGCTTGTTGGAGATTTTTATGGTGTCATAAATTAGCCTTCCCACATAAGCGGTATCTAAATTTCCTACTTGACAGATGCAACTGTCTTTTTGGCTGCAAAGGTCAACAGCAAGATACACAAGTTGGTCAGAAGCTCACGCCAACCCGGACCAGCTTCGAACTCATGACCTTTTGGTCAGTAGTGATCTTAATGTAGCTGACTCCCAGCCAGCTGCGCCACTTAGTAGTCACAGTGGTATTCTGCTAGATTAGTTGTGAGAGTAATAGGGAATACTTTCTTAGTGCTTGTAGAGATATTGTACTATGAGAAAACACTTGACATTTTTGCCAGTGGCTTTCATGTCAGTGAGATGACAAATCCACTCTAGATTCAAACTTTAAAGGCAGTATGCAAAGTTTTGAACCATGTCCTTCCCATAGATCAAGCAATTTAGACAGCTAAGACTTAAAGGATATTCATAACTTGCAAATACTAGCCCCCTGAAGTATAATCCCACATTTTATAATGTCACTTTTCTATGGTTCCAAACCAATAAGATTTCTGGTGCTTAAATATTCTAAGTATTCCAGATAGAGTGATCTATATAAATAAAAATGTAATGTTCGTTTGTGGGATTAACAGAACTAAAAAACCACTGGACGAATTGACACCAAATTTGGACAGCATACACCTAACATCCCAATGTATGTCCTTCACTCAAAAAATGATTTTTGTCATTTGGGAGTTATAGTTTCTGGGATTTATAGTACACCTACAATCAAAGAGCACTCTGAACTCCATCAATGATGGAATTGAACCAAATTTGGCACTCCCCTGACCAACAGAAAACACTAGAAGGGTTTGGTGGGCATTAGCCTTGAGTTTGGGAGTTGTAGTTTACCTACATCCAGAAAGCACTGTGGACTCAAACAATGAAGGATCTAGACCAAACTTGGCATGAATTCTCTATGTGTCCAAATATGAACACAGATGGAGTTTGGGGGAAATAGACCTTGACATTTGGGAGTTGTACTTGCTGGGATTTATAGTTCACCTTAAAACAAAGATCATTCTGAACTCCACCAACGACAGAATTGGGGCAAACTTCCCACACAGAACCCCCATACTGAAGACCATCCAGTCCAACTCCCTCCACCAGGGCAAGAAAATGTAATCAAAGCCCTCCTGACAAAGAGCCATCCAGCCATAGATTAGATAGATAGAAATGATTCACACACAGAGAGATATAGTATAGATTTGAAAGGGACCTCTAAAGAAGGACAATTTTCATGATGCATGTTCCAAAGAAGGCAAACCAGACAATCTCCACATCAACACTGACAAAGAAACAGCAAGAAATACTGTTGACCCACAATCATAAAGACATTACATATATTAGAAACCAACACTTTCTCATTACTTGATTTTCCAGGTCACTAGACTGGGCCACAGCAACGCGTGGCAGGGGACAGCTAGTCCTATATATACAGATAAATATTTCTGTGCAAAAAGTTGGATGCATGGGGGAAAATCTAACATGTTTTGATGACAATATTCACTCTTTATTTCCTTTTTTAAAATATGTAGGAAATGATGAAGCATGTCTTTTAAAAAGGCAGCCTGCTTAGTTAGTTCATCTAACACACGGGCAGGCACAATACAAAACAGGCATATCCTTGAGTGTAAATATTCTTACCTGGGGATGAGAGAAAGGTATCACCTGGCGGTCAACATGATACAGAAATGTGTCCTACAGCAAGTGACTATTTTGCGGTTTCTAGAAAACGAGCTCTCTGCTCCGGCACTTAAACTGGCAGTTTGCCAGAGATCTTGATGATGATCCCAGAGCTCTCATGAAGCACGCTTCTTTAAGTTTCTATACAGAAGAAATGGCTTCTGCCCTAGAACTGCATGGACACCAGCAAAGCACCAAGAGAAAGTTGTGCTGCTTGCAGTACCACATCTTGTCCCCTTCCATAAGCTTCAGGACTCTGTGGATTTTGATTCTCATTGGAATGAGCTGGACAGAAGAAAGTGTGAGCTGCCCAAAGGGATGCAGTTGCCAGTACTTGGCTGTGAACTGCACAGGAAAGCATCTGGAAGAGTTCCCTGCCACCATCCCACTGGATACTAGGCAGCTGATTCTGGCTCAAAACAAACTTAGCTATTTGCCTTCAATGGAACTAAACTTTCTTAGTGACTTGATCTACTTAGATTGCAGCAGCAACATCTTAGGGGAGGATCTGGATTTCATGTTTGTCAGCATTATTAAGTTGGTCTACCTGGACCTTAGCTTCAACAACCTTACCCAGATAACGTTTGGTACCTTTTCACAGCTCACTAGCCTGGTTATCTTAAAACTTTCAGACAATCCTAGCCTGGTTGAGATTGAAAAGGACTCTTTTGCCAATAATACCTGGCTCAGGCACCTTGATGTGAGCCGCTGCAGCTTGGCGTTCATTGATACCAGTACGGTCAAGGACCTATCCAACTTAAGAAGTTTGGGTTTGAGTGGGAATCCCTGGTTCTGTAACTGCTCCTTCATGGAACTGTGCAGCTGGATGAAAGAGAGTGGGATCACTATCCCAGGTGAGTGTCAAATGTTCAGGAACTAGATATGTTTTCTGATTTCTATGCTTTATGCATGTCTAACAGTAATATAGTGGCAAATGTTTGCTGTTTATTACTTGGCTGATGGAATGTAGTAGGTATATAGTCTATGCATTAAGGCAGTGTTTCTCAACCTTTCTAATGCCGCGACCCCTTAATACAGTTCCTTATGTTGTGGTGACCTCCAACCATAAAATTATTTTAGTTGCTACTTCATAACTGTAATTTTGCTTCCTGTTATGAATCGTCATGTAAATATCTGACATGCAGGAGGAATTTTCATTCACTGGATCAAATTTGGCACAAATATCCAATATGCCCAAATTTGAATACTGCTGGAGTTGGGAAGGGGATTGATTTTGTCAACTGGGAGTTGTAGTTGCTGGGATTTATAGTTCACCTACAATCAAAGATCATTCTAAAATCCACCAATGATGGAATTGAACCAAACTTGGCACACAGAACTCCCATGACCAGCAGAAAATACTGGAAGGATTTGGTGGGTATTGGCCTTGAGTTTTGGAGTTGTAGTTCACCTACATCCAGAGAGCACTGTGGGCTCAAACAATGATGGATCTGGACCAAACTTGGCACGAATAATATGCCCAAATGTGAACACTTGTGGAGTTTGGGGAAAATAGACCTTGACATTTGGGAGTTGTAGTTGCTGGAATGTATAGTTCACCTACAATCAAAGAGCATTCTGAACCTCACCAACGATAGAATTGGGCCAAACATCCCACACAGTACCCCCATGACCAGCAGGAAATACTGTGTTTTCTGATGGTCTTTGGTGACCCCTCTGACGCCCCCTGGCGACCCCCTCCAGGGTCCCGACCCCCAGGTTGAGAAACACCGGATTAAGAAGAACCACTACTGCCATTCTAAAGTCAACCCTTAAAGGTCCCAGTCATAAAGAAAAGGCATGTAAAGTAACCATCAGGAACAAAGAAAGAAGGAACACCAGTAATTTGCTATCCTATGAATTAGCTGTACTAGCATTGTATGTGGCATTTGTGTCCAAAATGTATCAAATCTATCTGTTCCATTTTTACAGGAATTGGGGGGGGGGGCAGGGGGAGTGCTGGGGATGTGGAAAATGCAATTTTCCAAATTTTGTACCAACGCGATTTGATACATTTTGATAATTTTGATCTTTGAATAATATTCTACTCCTAGCCAACAATGTGCTGCCACCTTTAATGCAGCTTTCTATTTTGGGGGAATTTGGTGCCTGTTGGAAACAAACTCCACATGAGTACTGCTCCATTTAATGGAGAGAATAATGCACTGGCCAACACACATTTGGTGCCTCAAATGTTAGACCTGTTTCTTGGGTATGTTGCCGATTCCAAAAATGGCACCAGATTTCCCCTATCAGCTCTAGTTTTTGAAATACAGAACATGTGTCATCCACCAGTTGCCATCTGCTTGACCATAGAAAATCATCATAACTATATATTAAAAACTAGAGCTGATGCTACCCATCCAAAGTCGTTTTCTGAATCTGTGCCACAAATAACCCCAATAACAGGCCTAAAAACCAAGGCATTTTTGTTGGTTGGGCTGTTGCTCTTTGAAAATGAAGATTTCTTCTTAGCCACTTGTTCCCATTTCTTCAATTAGGGTCACAAATCACCCTAATGTTTGTGGTAATTTCTGACGGAAGACTATAAGTTTATTTTCTATCCTGAGTAGCATCCCTCCTGTTTTATTTTGCTGAGGTTATAGTTTTCCATTCTTGTTCTCTTGTTCTTATTGAGGTTTCCAAAATCCCATATCACAAAATAATTAAACTATTCAGTTGTATTTTGACAGAGTAGGGGTTCTGTCCCTTATATTCCTTTTCTGGAGTTACCTCAACTACATATATAACTTAGTTGCATGATATAACCGACCAGCATATCAGTCAAAGAAAGAACACGAAGCATTGAATGAAAAGGTGCTGTCAGCCAAGACAGCTCAATTTCCCACCTCTGTCACTCACCTATATGTTTGCTGCCACTCTGTTTCAAAGAGCAACACCGTATATGTGAAACAGACACAGAAGTTTTGCATTTTAGGGGGTTTTGTGTGAGAGCAGAGATTAAATTTTAATGTTATATGTAAGCCTATCTGGTCTCAACAGCTCCTCTTTCCTTCTGAACCTGAAATAAGATACTCCTTGTTCCATCACAGGTAATGGCAAAAGACAGCAGATAACTTGATGGTTCTAGTTGACTGTTATCATCTGTTGTGCGAGACAATCAGTTTCTCAACTTGTCAAGGAAAAGAGATTCCAACACTGATGACCTAGTAAATTGAGTGGAATTGTTGGAAGTGGTGGGTTCCTTAGGTTGGAATGACCATGTTCAGAAGAGGAAGTCAAGCATAGTCAGATATGCATTCTAGACTTTAAGAAAGCTGACTTCAGTAAATTTAGGGGGAAATTGAATATGAAGGTTGCAAGCTTCCATAATAATAATAATAATCATCATCATCATCATCATCATCACAAGCAGAGGCATAACACCGTTGCTCAGATGATCCATTGGAACTTGTACCACAAATACCATCTGCCTGTGACAAAGAACTGGTAGGATCACAAGCTGGAAAAAGTTACAGAGAATGAACATGTCAATCTCCTCTGGGACTTCCAAATTCAGACAGACAGAGTTTTGGAGCACAATACTCCTGATCTCACAATCGTGTTAAAAAACAAAGTATGGACCGTCAATGTCGCAATCCCAGGTGACAACAGGATTGCAGAGAAACAACTGGAAAAGCTGACACGATCTGAGGATTTAAAAATCGAACTGCAAATACTCTGGCACAAACCAGTCAAGGTGGTCCCAGTGGTGATCGGCACACTGGGTGCAGTGCCTAAAGACCTTGGCCTGCACTTAAACCCAATTGGTGCTGATAAGATTACCATCTGCCAGCTGCAGAAGACCACCTTACTGGGATCTGCACGCATTATTCGCCGATACATCCCACAGTCCTAGACACTTGGGAAGTGTCCGACGTGTGATCCAATTCAACAGCCAGCAAAGTGTCTGCTGTGGACTCACCTTGTTGTGTTTCAAATAATAATAACCACAATTGTGTTAAAGTATGGATTGATGATGTTGCCATCCCAGGTGACAGCAGGATTGAAGAGAAACAACTGGAAAAGCTGACACGGTGTGAGGATTTAAAGATCGAAATGCAAAGACTCTGACACAAACCAGTCAAGGTGGTCCCAGTGGTGACCGGCACACTGGGTACAGTGCCTAAAGACCTTGGCCTGCACTTAAGCACAATTGGTGTTGATAAGATTACCATCTGCCAGCTGCAGAAGGCCACCTTACTGGGATCTGCACACATTATTCGCCGATACATCACACAGTTCTTGACCCTTGGGAAGTGTCCGACGTGTGATCCAATACAACAGCCAGCAGAGTGTCTGCTGTGGACTCATCTTGTTGTGTTTCAAACAACAACAACAACAACAACAACAACAACAACAACAACTTTATTTGTCTATTCCATCTCCCCAAAAGGACTCAAGATGGCTTACATGGGGACCAAGCCCAGCATAAACAAAATTTACAAGCAAAATTTCACTGTAAAAATATAACAATACATAAACAATCTAAATTAAACAATTAAAACCAGCAAAGTATAAAAACATCACATAATGTATCAAAACCAGCCTCAATCACCAGTAACCAGAGTATTGTGGGCAAAATCAGAATAGAGTGGGCAGGGCAAGGACTTATGCAAAACACAGACTATAGGGCCAGGGCTGGGGGTAAAGTGCAGGATAAACCTTATCAGGAAATTAGGGCTGGGCAGTCATGATTGAGGGCTAAGCTGTCATTCAAAAGTACACTAAAACATCCAGGTTTTCAAGTTCCTATGAAAGGAATTCAGTGGAAAAGAGTAACAGAGTCGAGTGTCATCCGCATAAAGATGGCCACAAACTCCAAAACTCTGGCTGACCTTGCCCAGTGATTTCATGTACTGTAGATGTTAAAAAGTATGGGAGATAGAATGGAATCTTGTAGGACCACACAGGTCAATGGCCAGGGGTCCAAGCAGGTGTCTCCCAGCTTTACCACCTGGATACAGTCCTCCAGGAAGCAGCGGAGCCGCTGCAAAGCAGTACCCTCAAGACCCATTCCAGAGAGCCATCCCAGGAGGATACCATGGTCGATGGTATTGAAAGCCACTGAGATGTCCAAGAGAACAACAAGGGCACACTCTTTTTACTTTTTACTCTTGAGAAATTTTTCATGACCTCAAAATTAAGCTAAGGTATGCCCAGATTGGAGAAAGGATTTGCAAGGATTTCACACTGAGATGCAGGAGGAGCATGTTTTCTGCTGCTCTGAATACCAGGACACAGCGCAATGGATTCAAACTGCAAGAAAAGAGGTTCTGCCTAAATATTAGGAAAAATTTCCTGATAGTAACAGCTGTTTCACAGTGCAATACGTGGCTTAAGAGTGTGATGGAATTTCCTTCTCTAGAGGCTTTTAAGCAGGGGCTGGATGGCCATCTGTCACGAGTGCTTTGATTGTATTTTCCTGCATGGCAGCGGTTTGGACTGGATGGCCCTTGTGCTCTTTCCCAACTCAATGACTCTGTTTGCCATCGAACACATGAACTTTTCCTGATATCACCAGAGTTTCACTATGTTGCATCATGCCCATAAGGCTAGTGTTGATAGAAGTAATAATAGAGGAATAAATTATGCTTCCATTCTCAGTGCATTTGGGGGGGAAATGCAACGGAAAATCATTAGGTTGGGAAGAGGTGAGAAAATCCTTTCATCTAGAAACTTTTGATGAGAAGAAATGATCGTGTTTACAAATAGTTTTCAGGATCTGATAACTTGTCAGTGTTTTGTATCAATGGAGTGGTAAACTGGAGAGTTCTGGAGACAAGGGAGTGTGAGATCACTTGTATAATGAAACTTTTCTATTTCTTCTTCACCTCTACTGCCCCCACCCAAATCTATTTCAAGGTGTTTTTTCACACTGCCAGAGCAGATTTTAAGAAGTGTGGGAACTGCAAAGGGATGAGAGAATCTATTTAGCTGGCAGATGGATGCTCTACCAGACTTGGGGAAAGTGGGCAGCAGCGTTTGCCCTCACCAAGAACTAAGATGGTGAAGGCAGCTGGGATGAAGATGAGACAAGAGGAATTGTTGAAGCAGATACGCTTGGCAGAAGAGGGAAAGACCCTGTGGAATTTTCTGTATCTGGACTACCATTCAAAATTGCGAGAAGCCTGGAATTGTTCATTTAATGGCAGCCGGGGAACTATTAAACACTAGTTCCATCTAGTGATTATTTGAAGTAGAGTTACTTTTTTGAGCTGCTGAAAATTAAGTAGCTGTTAGGTATTACAAGGCTTTTCTGGGCTTCATACAGATGCAACATGGGGATTTTGTTCCGTCTCCCAGGAGCCTGATTTGCCTTACTTTACAGTTGCTTGAGGTTGCTCCCTCTTGCATTTTCTCCCAGGGCTGCTGCAGCTTTGCAAGAGCCCTAAAAGTTAATAGTATCAGAGTCTGCAAAGCCAGTCTGCAGGCCTCCTTTGCAGCTATTAGTTCAGAAAGGTATCTCTTTGGGTCTAGGGACCACCTTTTCTCCCAGGGAAGAGATCTCCATTTTGGAATCTCCCCTGCCTTTTCAGTTTTTTGAGGAAAGACTTCAGACGTGCTGATGGTTAGGCAGGTAGCTCTGGGAAAACCATTGCAAAAACTATATATTCTTTAAGTTAATATACATTATATATTGAGTATTAAGCTATACATTATATATTGTGTATTGTATATTATATTGTATATTATATTAAATTAATACAGATAGCATATTGTGTATTGAGCTATATAGAGAAATTATAGATTAATTGAAAAGCTATTGAGAAAGTATTGAGTATTGAGTTTATTGAGAAAGAACTATTGAGTTAGATAGATAGTATTGAGCATTTGCCTCCAAAGCTAACTTTGAGCAATAGATAGGGGGAAAAACCTGCTTTTTTCTGACCATTGGAGCTCAGGGTTAGGGTAAGGGATTCCAGAATTCCTTTTACTTTTTGGAGGAAAGGAAAACTCATCTCTATGCTTTACCAATTGACTGTTTGTAACTTTGATGAATTGTGTCAAGTCTGCAAGGACTTTGTGTAAATAAATATCCTTTTTTGATGTTTAAAACCAGTAATAGCCTCAGTTGCTGAGTATCTCAAGCTTCTCAAGAAAGACACCCGCAGTTCGCTCAGACATAGAGAGAAGCACGTCGCAGTTTTATTTTTTATAGCGTCTGGGTGGATGGCACAGATTTCCAGATTCCACTTCCAAGGGAAGAGGGTCTCTCTGTGACAGCTTCACATGGTGAGGGAGAGGATTTGCAATGCTTTTCTTTAAGATAAGGGATTTGTCACCTGCTCAGTTGTTAGGACTTAATGCACAAACCCAAGGTTTTTACCCTTTTGTGTTTTCTCTGCAGACTCTGACAATGTCACCTGCTACAGCCCAGCTTTTGTGCATGGCTTGAGGATGCTGGAAGAAGCACAAAAAGAGCTCCATTACAAGTGCTACATCCATTTTGATGACCAAGACTATCTGTTCTTGGGGCTGGTTGGCTTCTGTATTTTCTCTGCTGGAACTGTGCTGGCCTGGCTCTTAGGAGTGTGCGCAGTGGTCTATGAATTCTTAACTGCCAGAGGGGAGGAGGATGAAGATGAGGATGAAGAATAAAGAGCTCTCTATACTTCACTTCTGAAATATGACTTGTTGACAGTAGAATGTTATGGAAATGAATGTTATGGGAGAAAAATTGAATAGAAAGCTTTGACTGAAAGTAGTGGAAAACAGGCAGAAAAAGCAAGTCTCTATGTATTAAGTTATGTAAATGATAATAATTTGTACTCAATGTCAAAATTAACAGGTTGATTGACTAAGGTAGATAGGCATGTACACATCAAAAATATTGTTACCTGATTATATCTGCCACGATTTGCTTTTCTGTTATGTACCATAACCAAAATAAACAGTTTTTTTAAAAAGATAGTAGAACCTATGTATATTTACACTGACAGTAAATCCCATAGTGATCAGTGGGATTTATTGAGACTGCAGTCCTAAACTTACCAATTAGTAAGCCTTTTCAAATACGGTGGAGTTTACTTCTGAATGAAGAAGTAAATGAAGAGGATTCTGCTGAAAAGTCCTCTACAAATCTACACAAATGTAATCTTATTAAATAGAGTGAAATTTGCTAAGTCTCATTCCAATTTTTTTTAAATCCACCCTTTTTCAGTAACGTGACTCACAGCAACAGAAAAGGCAAAACAATAAAAACAAGAATGGAAAAATAAATGTTAAGACAATCCAAAATGTAGCATAAAAGCCAAAGTGCTAGCAAAAGGATTAAAACCAGTCATGCAATGCGTAATGACAAATAATGAGAAAAGGAAGCTGAACAAATTTTCCCAGAGAAAAAAAGACTCAGTCACAAATATTTCCTGAGTAAATACAAGTTTCATCATGGGTAATGTGAGCCCCATGCAAGTTCAAAATTAAAATACAGTGGTCCCTCGCTACTTCGTGGTTAGCTTTTCGCGGACTCGCTGTTTCACGGTTTTTCAATATGGACTTAAAAGCGTTTGTCTGTATGGAGAGGCTGCCTCTGTGGATAAAGTCAGAGCTGAGGATTACGTGAACAGCATGCTCAAGGAATCATCTGAGCAACAGTGTTATGCCTCAAGAATCATAGAATCAAAGAGTTGGAAGAGACCTCATGGGCCATCCAGTCCAACCCCCTGCCAAGAAGCAGGAATATTGAATTCAAAGCACCCCTGACAGATGGCCATCCAGCCTCTGTTTAAAAGCTTCCAAACAAGGAGCCTTTAAACAAGTATAAAAACATCAAATCATCCGGGTGTCCCCTGAGCAACGTCCTTGCAGATGGCCAATTCACACCAGAAGCGACTTGCAGTTTCTCAAGTCACTCCTGACACGACCAAAAAAAATTGTGAGCCACAGCCATTTTTTTGTCAATTTGGCTCTCAATTTTTGCCAGAAACTGTCTATGGAGTGCCTTCTTTTTCTTTTTCTTATTATTCTGGTTGGACTAGAACTCACCATTTAACCACATATTTGTTGATGGACCTATTTTAGATTTTGATAATACTAATAACAACAAGAATGTTCTTTTTTTTTGTCATGTCAGGAGCGACCTGAGAAACTGCAAGTCGCTTCTGGTGTGAGAGAATTGGCCGTCTGCAAGGATGTTGCTGTGCAGAAGTTATTAATACTTTGCATGTTTTAAACTGTATATATATATGTGTTTGGGTTAGCTACAGTAACACTGGAGCAGCCTATTTCAGAGATCCTGAGTCAGCGTTACCATGGAGACCAAGGCAAGCTGGCAGAAAGAGAAGTGGGAGGAGCCAAGTGGAGAGAGTTTTAAAAACAGACAGTTTGAGAGTCAGTTAGGAGTTGATTTTGTATCTGAGAGGAGTAAAAGAGTGGAAGTGAAGAGTAGAGTGGGAGAGTGAAGTGTGAAGCAAAGAATTGTGGCTTTGGGAAGCCTGGATAGCTACTAGAGGTTTCTCAGTCTAAGGAGGCTGAAAGGAGAAACATAGCCAGTTTTCTTTAGTCAAGGGAACGGCTAAAGGATAAGCTTGGTAATTTATTTGATCAAGGAAAGATCAAATAGGGAAGATATTCCTGTACTGAAACATTGTTTAGTAATAAGAGCTTCACCTCAGTAAGATACTGTGTAACCTGGAAGAGTGAAATGTTTAACTAACCAAGTATTATTCAAAGTTCTATAAAATAAGTTACAATCTTGCAACCACACGCTTTGTACTCAATAAACCAGTTATCTTTTGTTGAAGACAGTCTCATCTCCATCCATTCTGCGTCTGTATTGCCATATCTCACAGTAATACCTCATATCTCACGTTGGTGGCAGTTACCATAGATTACATATAACAATTGGCCTCCACTATACCAGTTGGTGGCAGAATTCAGAGAAATAAACAATAAATCTCCCTCTACTCTCCTGTCACACGACAGCATGTGTGCTTTCTCTCCATTCTGATCACCTCCTCGCAGTTGCCCAGGGGACGCTCGGATGATTTGATGTTTTATCATCCTTGCGGGAGGCTTCTCTCATGTCCCCGCATGAGGAGCTGGAGCTGATAGAGGGCGCTCATCCGCCTCCCCCCGGATTCGAACCTGTGACCTGTCAGTCTTCAGTCCTGCCGGCACAGGGGTTTAACCCACTGCGCCACCGGGGGCTCTAACAAGAATATACTGGTGTATATATTACTCCAGTGTGGACTACACGGCCTTTGGAAGACTCTGTACTTGTCTTGTCTAGATAGGTTAAAGGCCATTGTAAAGCCAAATATCCAATCCACAAGGCTTGCATTTAAAACCAAACCCTCTCTTGACTAAACAGAACAAACTGCAGCCTTCCAGGTGTTCCTACATCACAACTCCCATCTGCTCCAGTCATGATGTCGACTGACCAGGAACACAGGAGGGTCATTCCAGCATCTGGAGGGCCTGACTGAAGTCCAAAACACCTGGAGGGCCGAAGTTTGCCTATGCCTGAGGCGACTGCTTTAAATGTATCTTAATATGGGGGCATTTATGGCCATTCACTCCTTCTGGGCGGACGTACCGCCCCTTGGGGCGGGAGGGAGGCTGTCGTGGGTCCTTCTGTTCCAGGCGGCAGCTTCCGCATTTCTGTCCCAGCCGGGCTCGCGCCTCGCCTCCTCTTCCTGTTCGCCGGACGGAGAAGCGGTGAGTCCCGGCTTTGACCTCGCGCGCCCAGGACGGGAGGGGGCAAAAGGAGAGGGGGGCTGCGCAGGACGCATGCGCGAGGAGGGGGCGCACGCGGCTTCCCCCCCCCCCCCCCCCCCCGAGGCGCGAGCCCTCTTGCGGGGAAATAGGCTGGGCAATCTGTATAAGCAACGGGAATTGGGTTTGCAAGCTGCGTTTCCCCTTAAAGAGACAGGGCTCCGGGTTTAAGCGCTGGGCTATAGGACTTGCAAGCTCCGTTTCCCCGCCCAGCTCAGCCCTGGAAATCCGCTGGGAGGCTTCGAGCTAGTTCTCTCGCTTGGGGGTCGCCACAAACCGGAAATGACGTACAGGCCGATGCCTCCCAGTGGCAGTCTTCGCAGTGGATCTGTATATGACTAGAAACCTCTCTAGCACAGTGGTTCTCAACCTTCCTAATGCTGTGACCCCTTAATACAGGTCCTCATGTTGTGGTGACCCCCAACCATAACGTTATTTTCGTTGTTACTTCATAACTGTAATTTTGCTACTGTTATGAATTGTAATGTAAATATCTGATATGCAGGGTGTATTTTCAGTCCCTGGAGGAAATTTGGCACAAATACCCGATAAGCCCAAAATTTGAATACTGGTGGGGTTGGCTTGGGGGTGATTGATTTTGTCATCTCGTAATGTTTGAGTAGCTGGGATTTATAGTTCACCTTAAATCAAAGAGCCTTCTGAACTCCACCAATGATGGAATTGAATCAAACATAGCACACAGAATTCCCTTGACCAAGAGAAAATACTGGGAAGGTCTGATGGGCATTGACCTTGAGTTTTTGGAGTTTTAGTTCACCTACATCCAGAGAACACTGTGGACTCAAGCAATGATGGATCTGGATCAAACTTGGCACAAATACTCAATATGCCCAAATGTGAACACTGGTAGAGTTTGGAGAAAATAGACCTTGCCATTTGGGAGTTGTAGTTGTTGGGATTTATAGTTCACCCACAATGAAATATAAACCTATTGTCCTAATTCCAACAGACCTCACTCAGCAAGCTCAGCTCAGTGCTTTAACCCACTGCGCCACGGGGGGCTTCTCTGCCAACCTAGCGGTTCGAAAACATGCAAATGTTAGATTAATAGGTACCGCTCCGGTGGGAAGATAACGGTGCTCCATGCAGTCATGCTGGCCACATGACCTTGGAGGTGTTTATGGACAACACTGGCTCTTCGGCTTAGATATGGAGATGAGCACCACACCCCAGAGTCAGACATGACTGGACTTAATGTCAGGGGACAACCTTTACCTTTTATGGCCATGTTCCAAAAGCATTCTCTCCTGATGTTTCACCTGCATCTGTAGCAGGCATCCTCAGAGGTAGGAGCCCCTGGTGGCGTAGTGGGTTAAACCCCAGGCAGGACTGAAGACCAACAGGTCGCCGGTTCAAATCCGGGGAGAGCGTTGATGAGCTCCCATTATCAGCTCCAGCTCCCCATGCAGGGACATGAGAGAAGCCTCCCACAAGGATGATAAAACATCAAAACATCCAGGCATCCCCTGGGCAACGTCCTTGCAGACGGCCAATTCTCTCACACCAGAAGTGACTTGCAGTTTCTCAAGTCTCTCCTGACACGACAAAAAAAAAATCCTCAGAGGTTGTGAGGTCTGTTGGAAACTAGGAAAATGGGGTTTACATATCTCTGGAAGGTCCAGGTGGGAGAAAGAACTCTTGTATGTTGGAATTAGGTGTGAATGTTTCAATTGGCCACCTTGATTAGCATTTAATGGCCTAGTAGTTTCAAGGTGTGCCTTCTTACTGCCTGGGGGAATCCTTTGTTGAGAGGTGATTAGCTGTCCCTGATACTTTCTTGTCTGGCGTTCCCCTGTTTTTGAGTGTTGTTCTATATTTACACCAACTCAGTTCTTACATCTATCCACTTTAAATGCTGTGACTGCCTCCTGCAGAATTCTGGGGCTTGTAGTTTAGAGAGGGGCTCATCCAGAGAAGCCCTGGGCCTCCCTAAACTACAAACCCCAGAATTCTGCAGGAGGCAGTCACATTATTTAAAGGATAAATGCTCAAGTATGATGAAGCCCATAGATTTCCAGATAGAAGGCAGTCACAGCAAGAGTTTGCTTGAGGCACCTTACGCTTGACACATTTCTCCCTTTCGCCCTATATTCATGACTTTTCAAATTCCATAGCACTGTTGGTAACAGCAGATCTCCAATTACAATCTTCCAGTGCAAGGCTTTCCAGTTCTCCCTGTTTATAAGGCTGCTTTCTGCCCTTGCTGCCCTTTCGTGGGCTGCTTATCACTCTCCAAAGCTTTCTTCTGATCAAGTGAGAGTTGTTGCCACTCGAAAGCAGCCTTATAAACATACGGAATATTTTAAAACGGTTATGTGTTTTGGCAATGTTGTAACTCGCCTCGAGCCATGAGGAGAGGCAGGGAAGAAATAAAATTATTGGGTTGTTGTAGGTTTTTTCGGGCTATATGGCCATGTTCTAGAGGCATTCTCTCCTGACGTTTCGTCTGCATCTATGGCAAGCATCCTCACTACCTCTGAGGATGCTTGCCATAGATGCAGGCGAAACGTCAGGAGAGAATGCCTCTAGAACAGTGGTTATCAACTTGTGGGTCCCCAGATGTTTTGGCCTTCAACTCCCAGAAATCCTAACAGCTGGTAAACTGGCTGGGATTTCTGGGAGTTGTAGGCCAAAACACCTGGGGACCCACAGGTTGAGAACCACTGCTCTAGAACATGGCCATATAGCCTGAAAAAACCTACAACATGATTCCAGCCATGAAAGCCTTCAACAGAACAATAAAATTGTTGTTGTTGTTGTTGTTGTTGTTGTTAAAGCATAGCCATGTCAGCAGAGGCAACCCTTTGCGGGATCAAATCATTTGTCACTGTGTAACAAAATTGGATTTGTTTTCAGTTCCTGGTTTGAAAGTGTTATTTTCTGTTTGACTGTGCAGTACTTACTTTGAAAGTAGTTGCTATACTCCAGAAACTTTGTTTCTGTGGCTGCCACAAACTAGGTTGAATTGGACGAGACTCTAGGACAGTATTTCTCAACCTGGGGATCGGGACCCCTGGAGGGGTCACAAGGGGGGTTTCAGAGGGGTCACCAAAGACCATGAGAAAACACCTATTTCTGATAGTCTTAGGAATCCTTTTGGCAGAGAAGGCTGAAGATCTCTCTGCCTGCCTTTCTCTTCTTTTATGGTGTTGGTGAACTACAACTCCCAGAATTCAAAAACAGCCCTCCAACTCCACTAGTATTCAATGTTGGCCATGTAGGTAGTGTGACAAGTTTGGTACAGATCAATTGCGGGCTCGGTTCAGAGTGCTCTTTGATTGTAGGTGAACTATAAATCCCAGCAACTACAACTCCCAAATGTCAAGGTCTATTTTCCCCAAACTCCACCAGTCTTCATATTTGGGTATATTGAAAATTTGTGCCAAATATGGTCCAGATCCATCATTGTTTGAGTCCACAGTGCTCTCTGGATGTAGGTGAACTACAACTCCAAAATTCAAGGTCAGTGCCCACCAAACCCTTCCAGTATTTTCTGTTGGTCATGGGAGTTCTGTGTGCCAAATTTAGTTCAGTTCCATTGTTGGTGGAGTTCAGAATGCTCTTTGATTGTAGGTGAACTATAAATCCCAACAACTACAACTCCCAGATGACAAAATCAATCCCTCCCAACTCCACTAGTATTTGAAATTGGGCGTATCTGGTATTTGTGCCAAATTTGGCCCAGTGAATGAAAACACACCCTGTGTCTCAGATATTTACGTTACGATTCATAACAGTTATGAAGGAGCAACGAAAATAATTTCATGGTTGGGGGTCACCACAACATGAGGAACTGTATTAAGAGGTCGCAGCATTAGGAAGGCTGAGAAACACTGCTCTAGGAGATATTCATTGGAAAAAACTATAGCAAAATGTGCTGCAGTACATCCTGCAAAAACGTGTTGTTTTTTTTTACAGTTTAATACACTTCTCCCCGTGTGTTTATGATGATAGAACCAATTAGGAAACAACATTTATAACCCAGGAACTACAATTGTGTTACATAGTATTTTTAATCCTGCCAGGGAAATGCCCAAGTCAGAGCATTATTTTTCCTAGAGCAATTAAAATCCTCCCAAATCACATAATTGCTCACACGGATAACTGTAGAATGGTGTCCATGTGCTTTGATTCTTTGATTCCCCAAATATGCTTCTCATAATTTTTTAGATGGCCCTACCATTTTGTAACAGTTACAGTGGCTGTAAATTCGTGCAGCTTGTAACTGTTAGAAGAGGCAAAGGTTACATAGTGATAGGAGTGTCCTCTGGACTACTGCCATCTACTCCGGGTGAACTTTCTCCCAGCAATAAAGGAGTTGAACTTTGATCCTTGTTCTTGCTTTGCTTGCAGCCAAAGCCCAGGTGCAGAGTACATAGCTAAGAAGGAAGAGCCGTTAATTATAGAAATCTTAAACACTCAGCAATTGTGTATGGTATGTACTCCCTCCCCTTCACCCCTGCAATTAAACTTTAAACCCTACCACTATTTTACACTTTGAAATACCATTTCCGTCCTGCATATAACTCAGTATAAGTACCCAAGAGTAGACTTTAAAAAAATAGGTAAGCTGGGAAGAATGCCTCCTAATCTAACACACTAATGAACAGACTACGGGAAATAAACCAGATGAACTTGAACTCTTAGAGCCCTTCCAGACAGGCCCTATATGCCATGATCTGATTCCTGGTTTTCTGTGTATCCCAAATTATCTGGCAGTGGGGACTCATATAATCCAATTTAAAGCAGAAAACCTGGGGTCAGATCCTGGGATATAGGGCCTGTCTGGAAGGGCCCCTAATGTAGGGAGGCAAATAAAACTTGATAGACATAATTGAAACCTGAGAAGAGACGCCGGGGAGTGTGGCATCCAAGATAGCAGCGGGGCCCATCTCTGATCGGAACCAAGATGCTACTGTGTA